AGGTGCTGGGGGAATAACAAGGGGACATTTTTTCTGTTAGAAGTGGGAGGAACCATTTCTGCCTCTCATGCTCAGCACTAATCTATAGTGAGGTCAAGATCAATGCTAGGGATTGTTGTCTCCGTTAGCCGTTCTGAAGCCACGTGCACACTAGAAATGCTTTACTGGTATAATATGCCCACAAAGTGCTCCTATTAGAGATACCACCATATTGACAAATGTGGGCTGTTACTATAGCTTATTCCACCACCATCCCCGAAAAAAAGAAAAGCTATACCAGTAAAAATGCCTTCCTCCTCATCGCACACACAGATCTGCTTGGTTTTCTGACAGGCTGTGTCAGATGAAGGGAGAGGGGCAGAAATTCAAGCAGTGATGGCAGAAAACAAAGGTTGAGTCAGAAAGGATGAAACACAACGAATTCCTCCAAGCCTTTGCTGAGGCTGTATTACAGGCCAAGTGAAACTTCTTAGCCTCCACTGAAGTTGCCAAATCCTGCCCCAAGGAGCTATCAGGCCTGATGACCTACAACCAGCAACAGAACCCAGCACCAAGCACCGCAAAAAGTTATCATCCTAATGCACTGAAAAGGTCATGCACACTTGGGAAGCTTTCTCAAATACCCACTTCACCGGCACCCACCAATCAACAGCCCAACTGCATTCCTGGAGTTCTCTACATTCACTCATCAAGACGTTCTGAACACTATAAAGAAATCTTGACTCAAGACTTGTGAATTTGACCCATGCCCTTGCTGGCTTGTGAAAGAGAGTCATGATCAGCTTGGTCAGGTCTGAAATAGCCAACACCTCGTTCAGAGAATTAACCTTCCCGTCCTCCTTCAAACACAGAATAGTTCGACCAACACTGAAGACACCCACTATCCTCTCCATTGGTAAATTCTTACCAGCCTTTGCTGCATCGATGTGTCTCTCCGACAGATCCCACAGGTTGATGGCTCTCAGCACCTCCATGACTATCTTCTGATCATAGTCTTTCCTATAGTAGTTGATCATCCCATTGATGACATCCACAGGCTTTGCTGTTTCCAATATGTCCCAGAAAGCTGAGTTATAATCACCTTCTACCTTGATTGTATTCAGTGTGAACTTGAACTCCCAGACCCCTTCTGCCTCAGATCTTCCAGGGTTTCCAGCAGACGATAGTCGACTTCCTCCTCAGACATTACCTGAGCTGACTCCTGGAGCAGAAAAAATCAGGAATCTGCATCTGCAAACAAACAACCCAAAATGTTTTCTCTTGGGAACTAGCACCTCTCTCTAATGCGCTCACAACTCAAAGCAATTCTCTCCCTCCATTCTAAACTATCATATCCACAAACCTGAGCAGTTCGCTTAAATCTCAAAGCAAACCCCCCACACCAAGTACTTATCCAATTCCATCTCTGTTCTGCTGGAATTTACCTGCCCTGGCATTATCACTGCCCTGTGCTTGTGTGACTGGAGAGAGAGAATGGAAATTGCAAAACACAGCGATGATACTTATGCAGATCCATGAGAGTAAAATCTAGCAGAAGAGAAGGGATGGGGGAGTGAGATTGCCACTGGGAATTCGTTAAAGAAGCTGCATTGCACATTGTGCTGTAGTCCAGACTTTGAACTGTGCACGCGCGTTAATCTTGCTTATCTTCAAGTTGTTTTGGAAGGAGAAATGACTGCCTGGGAGAAGTGAAAAGTGAAACTTTTTCAACTGCTGTGCTTATTACCTGCAGCTTAATTGCCAAGA